AGCTGGTGTGGTTGAAACTGGCCATAACTGTATTTGCCTTGTGTGAAAGGAATACAGGTCTCTCTTCAAGAAGAAATAGAGAGGCTCCTCTAGCACACAGATACTGGCACCTTCTTTTCACATACTCTATCTTGACCAGTCTGTTAACAAACAACAGATGCAGTTGAAGTAAATCCTTTCCCTAGATCTAAACAGATCAAAAACACCAACACAGCCAATTTGACAGAGAGTGGAAGTCATATGAAATTTGGCAGAAGCAGCCCAGAAGAACAATATATACATCCAGCAATGAGAAGAAGAAAATAAGTGATTTTCTAATATATCAGTGAGTAGCTTACAATAGGAAAATTATAAATAGTTTCAAGCCATTAGCTATACAGATATTTTCATCAAGCATAACATAATCAGATTCTTATAGGAAAAAAATGTAAGGAATGTGTGAACTGTTATCATACCCATCTTACTCTGAATTGTAATGGTAATGGAGGTAGCCATGTCTGTACTTACACACTTGTTGTAAACACCCGAACTGGAATCAGTTACGTTTCAAATCACATTAGTAATAGATGTAACATTTAGCAGGTGCATTTAAGCTCTAAAAAATATTCTATCGTAGATCTCAGTAGTGCCTGGTATAATAAAAATGTATTACAGATGATTTTGAACTTTAATTCTAATCATACTCTTCCAGTTACTGCTGTATTACTATGCAAAATCCTTTCAGATGATATCTTCTTTAATTGACCAAAATAAAATAAAGATTTAAAAGTGCATTCTAAAGTCAGTACAACTGTTTCTAATCATTTTGGGTACATGTTAAAAATAGAAAAATTATTTTTCCCTAGTAAACGTTTTTATCAGTTTATCAATACTATCAAATTGTTACAATTTGATACTAATAAGCCCAGTGCAGAACAGATAGATATGTGGATGTATTTCTAGCCCCAGACCTTCCCAAAAGAACACTCTACCCAGGAGTAAGGTCAGCTTCTGACAGATAACTCTGCAGTGCATGTATGTGTCCTTAGTCCTCTTATTTGACCATTTAGTTAAGTCTAATTTTCACTTTATTAATAGGCAACACTTGGATTACTTGCCTAAAGAATTTTTCAGAACTGTGTCAAGCAGTACATCATACAGGAGTAACTGTGGAAGTAAGTAATTGAGAAAAATTAGGCTTCAAAGACTTTTTGTAGAGCAAAGCTGCACACTTAAGTCAGCAACCTTTATTTCAATAGGCTTTGCATAACCTACTGTAACAAAAGCAATTCCATCTCTTCTTCATATGTTGATGAATACTGAAAGGGAATGATTTTTTTCCTTTTAATTGTATTTTCCTTTTGTTACGTGCTACAGCTATTTCCTAATACCTTTACTGAAAGGAGGTAAATCCCCTAAGCATTCCTTCACTGGTGACCAAAGCTAAACAAATTCAGGAATGACTTTATTTTTTATGCACCTCACTATATTGTTTATGCTACAGTCTCCAAATAAAAATTCAGAGCAGAAATAAGAAGTATTCAGGGGAAAAAAAAAAAAAAAGTGTGGTGTTTTACACCAAATCTGAACATTAAAGTAATAAATTGCATATTAAATCTAAATCCAAAATTATGCAGAACTGACCTCCAAGATGTTTTAGAGCCATGATTACAACGTTTATAAACAGTAGTATATAATTTGATAAGACATAAGCCCTACACATGCCATTTGCAGCATAGCTATAGAAATTCTACAGTGAAGGATCCAAGTTTAGTGTAGCTATGGAGACTTGATAGGCATAAGGTGCCTGGCTTTGGAGCTGGTTTTAATTTGAGGCTGTTATTAATGTAAACATTCATATTTTTCCTGAAAATTTACCTTTTGGAACATGCTTTTTGGCAAAGGACATTAAAAGACCTGCAAAAAAAAAAAAAAAAACTGCAGAAAACAATTCTATCCTTGTACACTTAACTTTGGATGTAAAATGGTAGAGGCTTGCTAGACAATTCATGTCATAAACTATAAAGCTATAAGTATATATTTTGTCCTCCTGACTTGCTAAAATCTTTCAATTGTCTCTACGGCACAATGAAATACTGACGTTCCCATAAAAAACAGTTCTTCAAAAGTATCATTTGCTCTTTAAAAAGTCTTTACCAATGAAATCCTTCTTTCCCTGTTAAGCATGAAAATTTTCTTTTCAGGAAGTAGTTCCCATTCCTTGGATAGGCACAGGATTATTGACAGTGCCATAAGAGCATACTGTCTCCCACCAAAAAAACAGATACAGGTATGTCATCCTATATTCCTTCTATATCGGAAGTAGAAAAAAATGCTGTATTTAATAGGTCCTTTTCCATGCAAACTATATAAAATCTCATTCATTAGAGTGCTCAGGTACTTTGCTTTTCAAGTAATCCTACTGCATGCACTAATTTCTGTTTGGCTACATTTTCTTATGTATAATGCATTAAACTGTCTTCCACTGAGGGAATATTCCTTTACATGCAGAGCAGGAAGGCAGAATCCCATCTCATCCCACTGATTTCTTGAATTTTAAGTGCCTTTGAAGCAATTACAAGTACAAAATACAAGTACAAAATTGTAAAGGAAAGAAACATTTCACAGTACAACCATATGTGCTGAAATGTTTTTTGAATAACCATAACTATATTTGGAAAGGGGAGCCTTTCCAGAAATCTTGCTTTCATCACAATCATTTAACATCTCGGCTTTTGGAAACATTCAGGACTGATGGACAGAGAAATTGGTAAGCTGCTGAGGAGCATGGGAAGAAACTAAGCATCATGAAGAATACAAGTTCTCTATAAAACGAGTTAGGAGGAAGATGCAAAATGGGAAGGAAACATAACAGGAATAGTGAACAGTGAAAACAACCTAATGGTAATTCAGTCACAGGTTAGTGGCATAGACAAGCATCTGTGTCCAGTTGTCACAGCAACCATCCCAGTGGTCTAAGAAGAGAATGCCAGAATCATTCCTGATGACCTTCTACTAATGGTGGTATAAGGTCAGCCAAGAAAATATCATATGAACACAATACAACTTTTGGAACATTCTGGAAGAATAGACATTGGAGAGTGTCATGCAGAAAATAAAATTAATTTTACACCAGCACAGAAAACTCCTCACAATACTGCAGTGTGTAGAAGTTGTAAAACTAAAATGAGCTACATACAGGCATTTTCAGTTCTACTCCAGATTTCATGCTGCAAGTAATCACATTTTCTCTGAAAATAATGGATTCAAAGTGTATCACAGACAAATGTTACATACTACAATTTGATAGCAGAGAAATGGCATCTCTCATTTCTTGCTTTTTCTTTGTGCTATTTATGATTATCTACTAAAGAACAATACTGAAATGACAGACAATATTAAATCACCCAACTTCATGATACCTCAAGTTCTATAAGAAAGTGTGAATGACAAGACAGTGATTGGGCGAGAGTTAGTCACAAAACTTCAGAGAAACTGCATTTTCCACTATCATCATTTATAAAGTTACAATGAGTGTAACATCCCTGCTTTCAGTCTTTCAGACCAACTTATATAGTTTTGCATGTCCATCACAATGACAGTCATGTGCCATGACTTCTGGATGCAAATGATAAAGAAAATTGAAAAAAAATATGAAGTATCACCCCTCATTATTTTTCTTTTTCTGAAAAGAAACTGATGAAGCAACTGTGCTAAAATCAACAAGTGTTGAAGCAAGAACATACTGTATTTCTCAAATTCTTTATATGCAGACTGGTAGTGTCAGAATCCTTATAAAGCTGTACTTCAGTTTTAAAATTCATTATTTGATCCATTTTTTAAAATTAAAGTAATTTAAGAGACTCAAGAATGTATAACTTTTATGTATAATAAGCAATCATAGCAAAACAGCAGAAATCCCTGAATAACAAAAAATAAATCAGTAAAAAAAAACGACTGAGAATAAGAAGTCTGTACTCATCAGAAAGCAATTACTGTGTACATTCCTTCAGATGTGATCAATGTCATTTGCTGTACTATGTTAAATTGCTTTTTGATGGTCTGGAAAGAGAAGTAAATAGTAGATCAAGACAGACAGATCTCCTGGAATGAGTCCAGCAGAGGACTACACAGATGACAGAGGGCCTGGAGCATCTCCCCCATGAAGGACTGAGTAACTTGTGTCTACCTGGCCTGAGGAAAAGAAGGCTGAGGAGAGATCTGATTAACATTTATAACTAATTATCACCACCTAAATGGAGGTGAGAGTCAAAAGAAGAGGCCATCTTGGTGGTGCGTAGCAATTGGACAAGGAGCAGCAGCTTGAACAAGTTGAATATATATGGAGTTCCATTCAAACGTACAGAAGAACTTCTTACAGTAAGGGTGACAGAGCACTGGGAACAGGCTGCCCAGAGGGGAGTCTCCTTCTCCAGAGATATTCAAGACCTTTCCAGATGCCTGTGTGACCTACTGTATGGTACCTGCTTTAGCAGAGGGTCAGACTCTATCTCTTGAGGTCCCTTCCAACCCCTGCAATTCTGTGAAAACATACTGCTGGTAATGAGTTATTCAGAGCATTAAAAGCAATAAATAAGTTTGAAAAACTTCAGGAAGATCTTACAAATGCATGACTGGCAGCACAGCAAAACAAAACATACAAACAAAACATTTTCAAGCCTTAAAAATGACTTATAAATTAATGCACTGAGAGCTAAAGCATTGCATTTCATGATACTTAGAGGCTATAATAATTGGTCCCATGATGCTTCCAGTGAAATAGATAACAGATTTTGTGGTTGGCTAGCTTCAGCTGGATTCCAGATGCCTGACGAGGCACTCTCTCAACAGAAAAACTTTCTCAACAGAAAAGGGGGGGCAAATGAAATGGAAAATCTTGCAGGGTCAGGAGAGAGACAGATATGCTACTCACTATTTACCATCACAGGCAAAAAAAGACTTGACAATTTTTCCAAGAAGAAAAACTACAGAGATGGTGCTTATTATTGATTCAGTTCTCACCTGTGTATCAATAAAGGAACAGGGAATAAAGTTGCTCTCTTCACTTAGGAATACACCTAGGAAAGCTCAGAAGTGCTGGAAAAAAGTCTGAATCTCCTGTAACGTCTCTGAGAACTAATTGAGAAGAAACAAAAGAACAAAGACCATGAATGGAACACCACAGAACCACAAATGCACTCAGATTAAAGCATTATAGTTTGTACCATCAAGATCTACTCTCTGCAGCAATTAAGAATTGAGCTAAAATTAAGTTACATAATGACTAAACTATTGTTTCATAATTGTGCCTACTATTCATAAAAGAGAATGGAAATCCAGCAACATTGCTTGAGGGAAAAAATATTACCTCACTAGGAAAATTCATTTCCTAGTGTTCAAATGTAGAAGCTTGATTTAATCTGCATAAGTGATTGATACCAGTCTGACCTTCTGCCTGAGCACAGCAATATACAAAGTACATGACCTTCCCAAGCTTCTCATTCAGTAATTATTTTTAACTACATTAAGTGCTGATATCAGTAAGATTTTCAACTTCACCTCTGATTATCATCTTTAATCTACAGTGTATATACTTGAAAAACCTTAATATCATAAGATAGAAGAAAAGTATCAGTTTTGTTTTGATGGTTTAGCCACTTTTCTGCCTCAGCTATCATATTATTTATATTTATCATCTCTTTCCTACTGGGACTATAGATCAGTATCTTACATCATCTTAATCAAGGCAAAGTAGTCCTTTGATAGATAAAATTATTTCAAACGACTTAAGAATCTTTTTTAACCATACACACCTCAGTGAGCTATAAAATCCAGTGTCTGCTACACAGCTAATCAAGATTAATGGATTCATTTACCAGGTAGTTACCATGTTATTAAAATGCAAATGATTTGTTTCTGTTAATTGTTCAATATCAGATATAATTAATCTGGGGATGTGTACAATTTCTAGCAGTTTCAGTGCAGTTCACCTGAAAAGCTTCGGGTAAAGAAGCTATTGTATGTATGTTTTCCCATGTGGTTGAATGAATAGTAACATCAAAGAGAAACAGTCTTCAACTGTAAGTGAACCAACTGGAAGACTGTTTTTTAGAGTACACAACATGCAGGAAGTCAGAAGGGATGGAAAGGAAAATGATTAAGTAGATTCTCTAAGGTAAGAATACTTATAGATATTAAAAAAACTGGGAAAAAAAGCAAGCCAAAGCAAACAAAGAACCAAACTTGACTAGCAACTTTTGATCAGTATTCTCCATGTGTTGAAATTTTTATTCTGAATTTCATAGAATGGCTCAGGTTGGAAAAGACCTTAAAGATCATGAAGTCCAACCGCAACATAACCATACTACCTGAACTCTAAGAACCCTCTGCTAAATCATGTCCTTGAGCACCACATCCAAATGGTTTTTAAAACACATCCAGGGAATTTGCAAAAGAATTACCTGCCCTGTTCTGAAAATGGAGACCCAGTCCATGTAAAATAGATCTACACTGCACTAGCACTATTTCTTTCAAGATTTTGTCTGATGTAGAGTTACTGATAATTATTTGAGCAAAGTCCCAAATCTGCAAACTGTAGCTCATCTACAGGCAACAGTTTTGAATTTCATCACCTCCTCCAAAGACAACCATCTGTGTTTTGTTCTTCTCATCTTTCAAGCCTACAATTAACATTAACTTTGATTACTGATTCTTTCACACGCTTAAATATTTAGTATAATCTTCATGTAAATTCATGAGCTGCATTCAGTCTTAAAAAGATATTCTCATATTTTACCTGAAATCATATTTTGTGTGTTTTGGTTTACAGTGTGCTTCTTTATTTAGTTTTTATTTCAAAGAGGAAAGTTTGGAAAGTGTTTTTTCTCCTTTCAGCATATTTCACTTCTTTAAACTCCAGACAACTGAATAAAACAGGTTCTCTCACCTGCTTAATTACCCATGTCTTGTTTTTCTCTGCATAGCAGTCTTATCAACAAAAGCCTATTATGAATTCCAAGTCTGACTGTCAGGCAAATATTAAGGGTTATGAAACAGTGCTGCAGGATGACTGTCTTTTTGTGACATCCAAAATTTCTTTTGATGGTTTAAGTACCTTTTTTCCTCTTGAAATGGGAGCATTTATAAAGGTTAAATTCCTGCATGAAAGCAGTGTAAAATAAAACAAAATCATTTTAGTATTTAACTGATGTCAATTAAACATTAAAGATATTCAGAAGTTCACGAGGGAACTATATTTAGTATCACCTGTTACTTTAAACTCAAAGAAGCAGTTTTTCTATTGCCTTTCCTAACAACTTCTATTTGGTGTTTTTTGTTAAACCACAACTTTCAAAGCTCAGATTAAAGACACCTGCAATCCAGAATACATCAGTAAAGAGAACATTTGCAATACATTTATTTCTGCTTTACTGCTATAAAATTAATAGCGTCACATGGAAATACGTAAACAACTCACCAGCCATCCTAAACTATCCCTAAATCATGACTAAACCTATACACACATGCACCCACTGAATACATCCTTCTTACTAATTTGCGTCGTTTTAATGTTGAGAGAAGGAATACGTAAACATGCAACAAATTCACTTAACTTTTTACAGTGCATTTCAAATTTATCCTTAAACTTTGTTCCATGCACTGCATGAATCAGGTATATGAAGGGACTGATACTTCCAGTAAAACTTTGTGGGTGCTGATAAAAAGCAGTGACTAACACCTACACCACTCTTTTTAGCAATACGCCCAGCCATTCACACCCTCTTCATTTAAATCATTCTATCTGTAGCAGAATCTGGTATCTCTTGCTAATTGATTAAAGCTCACATTATTTCCTTGTCACAGCTGTTCTACTGCTTTCTCAATTTTCCTGTTCTTTTGTTTTGACATTTCTTTCATCTTCCTCCTTCATGTGACATCAAAAATAGAGACAAAGCATCTCAGAGATCAAAGGAATAAGTGAGCACAGAAAACTGAAAGGGGCAGAGAATATTTTCTTTCAAGACCTCACTTGTAAGCTTCATAAACTGAACATGTGCAATGCAGAGTTCAGTATGAGAAGTCAGAAGATTGCCTTGGAAACAAAAACAGGCTCATGTTAGAAGTTCATAATTATACATATGGTACTGAGAGCTACCAAAAGAAATAACTAGGTGTATGTAGTTTTAACCACTTTTAAAGTGATTTACTTTACCTCCATTATTCCCTGTAGCAAGAACAAAGCCTTTATGATCCCAACACTGAAAAGTTTGTGTTGTGGACATACTACAGCCATATTTAAGGTAGTGGCAACACCTACCTAGAAGAAAAATAGTTGAGTATCATTCTGAATTATATCTGTTCAGGTACCTTGGTATCTGATAAGCTCCACCTGAATGTGGGAGAAGGATGGATAACATCCACCCTCAATAAGGATACTATATAATTAATCATACGAGATCAGAAAAAACAATTATTTAAGTGCTGTCGAAGGGAGAGAAATGATAACACATTCAATCATGCGAAAAAAAAAATCTTACATATTACTAAATACTGAAAGACACTAAAACACAAAAATCTCACTCAGAGGTGAAGATTCTGGAGTAAGGGGTTTCTACTGATTCATATACCACTACAATGAAACTCAGCACCTCAGTGACAAAAAAATTAATGTATCATTAATAAACTGATCTACACTAATCAGAGCAGTGACAGCCAGAACTATTTTTACTCCAATTCTATCTGCTTGCTTTGACTGCATTTAGAAAGTTCGATTCTCAGAGCTGTGCTTTTTGAGTATGTCACAGGTGAAAATAACAGGATTGTGACTTTCTCTAGGCAACAGGAACTCTTATGGATATTACATCTTACTTTTGGCACTCTATCTTAAGAAATGGACTGTTGTCTAAAACATAAGACTCATCACCCTATTTTCTTTGCCTTTCAGAAAAAAAACAGCTATTCAAATGAAAATCACAGTATTTTAGCCACTTCCCTGAGCCTCTGCTGATTCTGAGAAATGACCAAGCTGCCTGGTTGGTCTTCTCTCCATAGAGTACAATATTAGCAGAGATGTAAGGATTAATTCTCTTAAATTTTCATCATTACATATAGGGAGGTTTCACTTTGGTGGGCAGCTAAACTCACCACAACTGCTATCACTCCCCCTCCTCAAAGGAAGAAGGGGAGAAAACATGATGAAAAAGGGCTTGTGGCTTGAGATAAGGACAGGGATATCACTTACTGTCACAAGCTGAATAGACTCAATATAAGGAGATTCATATAGCTTACTGCCTTTTGCCAAAGCAATGAGAATTTAAAGGAAAGTAAAAACATCTTCCTACATCCACCCTCCTCTACCTCCTCCCCTCCCATGGCCCAGGAGAACAAGGAATGGGGCTGTGGCCAGTCCATAAGGCTTCAACTCCACAAGACATGGGTCCTTCCTACATTGCAGCCCTTCCCAAACTGATCTGCATGTGCTTGCCTGGGCTGCAGCTCTTCCAGCACTGCCCCAGCACAGCTCTGTCTTGTGGGTCCCACTTTTCAGGCACTGCTTCCTGCACATAGGAGTATCACTCACAGCACAGCTGTGGCAGCAGTAGGTCCCCTTGGAGAAGCTGGACCTGCTCTGGGCTACCGTGGGGCACTGCTGGGCTCTGCTCGCTGAGACACCCCTGCAGCCCTCACACTATCAAAATCCTGTCATATAAAACCAGTACACCAAAAACAAGTCACATAAAACCAGATACATAGAAAAGCCAGTAGGAACACACAGGGGACTGGATAGGGAAAAGAATCTGAGACAGATCATGTAAGTGAAAAAGAATCTGAAGATATTTTAAGCTTATTCAGCACAAAATACACTTTAAGGGTATGGGATGTCATATTTCAATTATTATTTTACTTTCACAAGATGCAGTAGGATGTATATATTTTAAAACATCTGCTTCAATATTATTGTTCTCTGAAATGGATTTTAAAGTCAGCTTCTCTGTGTAAATCTGTGGTGAGAATAATAGGAAAGACTATTTCACAACTCTGCCTTCTTTAAACCCTTCTCTTCACCATTACAGCAATCACTTTTAAGCAGTTTTGACAGCAAGAGCCCCCAGGGATGGATTTGATTGAGACAGTCC